TAATTTGCATCTTGTGTTGTTAATTTTGTTCAAAAACACCTATTTGTGTTCTATAGGTATTCTCTTTCCACCTACTTTCAATTTTATCTTGGGTATCACTGTTTAGATATGTTTTTTTTATGATCTCTTAATTTGATAATGTACAATGTAGTAACTTCAACCGATGAGCAAATATTGATAGTTTTCGATTAGTCATTATTGTACAGAGTGTGTTGACATCTTAATATTTCAATCTTATTTGATTCATTTGTGTACATGTAGTCTACTGTCGACTAGTAAGTCTTAAAATAGATAAGGTGTGGCTGACTGGTTTCAACATAGAACTTTACACAGAAGCAGCAGTTTGAGTTGCCACACTCCTTGTAACACAGAAAGGAAAACAAAAAAGAGATTCGAAAGAACAATAATAAGCAGAAATGTGAGGAAGATAAACGGTAACATGGAAAAACAACAGGGTTTTGAATAACATGGCAGACCACAGGGAGTGAACGCATCTGGGCTATTGAGAACGATTTTGAGTCATATCACCAATTTTCTCTGGCCATTGGTTTTTGATATCCCGAGGACCTCAACCAGGTGGGCTGCACCTCCCGGTGTGGCTCAAACTAACTATTAGAGATTTCATGAATTGATGCCATGTGTTGGTCCGATCACCACTAGCTCTTTTCCAGCCTCATCATATGTCAGCTTACATTGCCCGTTGAGGAATAGGATGGCTAAGCAAGCTGTAATTCATCATACAGATTCAATGCTTCAGGTTCTTTTAGTATGTTATTAATCAGTCTGCTCAGTGATAAAATACTGCATTTGCTGTCCTTTTCCATTTGATTGATGTGCTAGGTAAAACTCATCAAGAAATGGCAATGATTTAACTGGTGCCGACTTTCTGTTAAAGTTTGAACCTTCTGTAACACAGCACCCCTTATATTTTTGTCAGTATTGTATGATTCTCATAACCGTAATATGCATTCTTATTAAGGGACATACGAAAGAAGTGTCTTCAATATACTGGTGGAGTACGGGCGATTCTTTAACAAATGTTAAAGACAGTAAATATAAGGGACTGCTTATATCCGGTGGTCTTGATGGATATATTATTTTTTGGGTAATGGATCCTTCACGTATTGAAACTCCAAACTGGTCTGAATCAGATATTTGTCATATCTGCAGCGGCCCGTTTTTCTGGAATGTTCGTAAAATGTGGAACAACATGTCAGTTGGCGTGCGCCAGGTTTGTTGATTTTTTAACAGCAATGATTGTGCATAAAATATTAATTTATTACGAGCAATATTTCAGTGTTTTAAGTTACTATACCAGTTTTTAACATATTTTCCGGGAACTGTTTATTAAGATCATAAATATATATATATATGTATATATATACATATATATATATATATATATATATATTCCAAGTTCTGATCTCGTGTACCTTTTCTAGTCTTTTTTTATTGCTGGTTATCTTCGTAAAGCCACCGTTTTGTTTTATACGGCAACTTAGAATCGAAGACGTGTCAGGTGCTATGTGGTTTTCAATTTTATGTACTTTTGTTTGTAACGTCTTTTTAAAACAGCAAAATAGAATTATTTTATTTCAAGCAGCCGCAACCACGTAGTTGTTCTCAATAAATTCAGCTTACTGCGCTATAACTTATATATATATATTCCGTTGTGGTGTTATTCCAGTTCAGGTTCATTGACTTTTAACTTTATATTCCTCAAGATTAAGAAGTTACCATTTTATGCAAAAATCTAAACGAACGAAAAGAACTTATACATTACCCATCACTTGATATTTGAATATCGAAACTAACAAAGCCTAACCACAGTCTAGGTATCCGTTCATTTTGCGTTCTTAGGTCCTTTTTGCCAATTTTGTCTAGACATCGCGTTTGTGCTCGTTTATTCACTTGCAGAATATAATTTTCTAGTGTCAGTGACTTTTGTTTAAAAGTAATATATTCCCTCGTGATTAAGAACTCTTATTTTCTTTTTTTCAGCATCATTGTCGCCGGTGTGGGCATGCAGTCTGTGATAAATGTTCGCCCTATCGTTCAACTTTACCTTGTATGGGATTCGAAAGGGATGTTCGTATTTGTAATCAGTGCTTTCCTTCGATAACTGACTCCGAGTAAGCTGTTTATTTAAGAAAGAAAACAGATAGACTATATTTTTTGCAAAAAGCCTTATTGCTGTAGGGTTGGTAGATACTTGTAGCGGATGTTTTCGTCGCTTTTTGTTCATTTCAGTTAACTTATTGATATTAATTTGTGAATAATATTTGTCAACGCAAAGGGAATAAAACGTCTCAACATTCCTAGTTGTCAGGTTACGCAATGCTCAGCGTCCAAGATTTCGTAATAAAATTCGATAAAAATTTGCAAGAACTTATGTATGCATAAATATGAAGAGGATTTAACGCTTCTTAGAGGGCATTTTTTCTAGTCTCCAGAGGTTTTATTTGTATGCAAATGTCTATCTCTGCAACTTTATGAGACACGACAATTCCTCTTCATGAAAACAGCATAATTTAAAGTATTCTAATTCATTTTTAAAATGGTAGATACCATCATACCTAAATAATCTTTTTTTTAAATTTCCTAGTCGTCGAAGTCTTGCTGTTTTGTTCGATGCGCGTCATCCTGTTACATGTGTTCGAGTGGAAGAATCTTTGAATCTACTTCTTACTGTCGGTAAAGATCGAATCATTAAGGTAATTGCATTAGTTTGATACTTTTTCTAATTGTGTCAGGTTTAAACATTTAACCAGAGATATATTCACTATTTATTATATATTGTTTTGCATTCTCTGAGCTCTTAAGCATATGAGAGCTTGTCTTCCCTAGGGGATCATGACAAAACTTTTGTATTAGACTCTCCTTAAGTGGAACATTCATCTCTTGGTGTATAAGACATTCTAACTTTTGTTGTGATTATGTGTTGTACTTGTTTAGACTTGTAACATAGTTTTTTTAAAGTCAGCATTAATCATATTTGTTTATTTAATATTTTCAGGTGTGGGACATCAAAGCATTTTCTTCAAATTCGCATACTTGAGCTATGGTTGCTATATCTGATATATTCGTCTGATTCATTGATTTGATTATTTCTTATGTCCAATGGAACATAAACCCCCGTGATTTGAAAAACTTTTCTTATCTTCACAATGTCACATAAATTGCTTTGAATATGTTTTATTATACCTCATTTTACAATTGATTTTTGACCATTTATTACAAAAGATATGGGCATACACATTTATATTTCTTTTCCTTATGACATCTAAATTACTGTACATATCAGATGCTCTGGTGTCTTTCTAATCTCGTGTAAAATTATTACTTAATATTGAAGTCAATGTTTTCTAACCCTTTCTCACTTTAGAAATCTACTGAGTTTTCGGCGTAGTTTAAGTTGCCAAACTCCAAATTTAACGCGAAATAAACATTTAAATGGACCATAGTGAACGGAAGTAAGTTGGAGAAAGAATAATTACACGGAGAATTGGTTGGAGCTAGGATTTCATAAGGATTGAGTGCATCTTCACCATTAAGAACGGTTTCCATCCAAGCCACCAACAGTCGCCCGTCATTGGTTCTAAGTATCTTGAGGTCCCCGATTAGGTAGTATACACCATACCTGGCTCAAACAAACTGTCGAAGATTTCGTGGGCTGGTGACAGGTTTTGGTCTAACCAACTCATCGACTGACTTACCCCCAGAACTAACACTCTTTGCCTAACCTCAGTACTACTAATTGTATTACACCACTTAACACGGGAGATAGGACGCAAATATCTGTCGTCAAACACAGCTAGATTTTTCATATCTTCTACTTTCGATGACCATGTCTCACAGCCTTAAGGAAGGATGGAGTAAGTTGTTACACAATCTACACGTTCTTTGATCGGTAGCGAGATATCACGTCGACGCCGAAGATGACTAAAAATGACAAATGCCACGAGTGCCTTTGGTATCTGTGCTAAGACTTCGTCAGCGAGAAGTCCATTGAAGCTGATGCGACTTCAACACGTCCTACCAATTTTCTTGAAGCTGTGTCCGTATGAAGATCTTACTGAAAACCACGGACCACTGCAGGGTATTTCGAGATGTAGTTTCCGAACTCAACCTTCTCTACTTCCCTCTTACCAGAGTGGAAGCAGTACAGCCAAGCTGCCAGTCGTCTGAGGGGAACACTATGGCTTTTCCCTCACACCCACAACATAGTGTGGCCAACTACCATGGTAACTGCTGTCCAGACGACTTTTCTGGCATTGTATTTCCTGCAGGTTAGTTAGCTGGGTTACTATGATACTACCACGTCAAGTATCACCAGCCAATCATGTCGTTCATTTGGTCCGAATTCACTAAACTTTGAATTTCGAACCACATAACTTCGTCCTAAGTCAGTGTTAGTCGATGTAAGTACTCTAATGTGTTCTTCATAAGGATCTAGTAGAATTATGACCAATCTGAGTGGACTGTGACTCAAATAATAGTAAGTGACTTAACCTTTCCTGTATGTTTAGATGACAGCTGTTAATGTAAATCGATGACTTTAGTCTTGAATCTCTCTGCGTTTAAACTAGGTGTGTAACAAAACGGAATCTCCACTGCTGCATGGTGGAGTTTTACGAGATCAAAACCCTATCGATATTTTATTTTCATATGTGCTAGCCGTTCTTTTTAACAGCAAACTGTGAACTTTGTGGGAAATCAATCACAACTGTTAACATAGGAATCAATAGTAGTCAGCGGGGTGCCGTATGTCCCAACCACCTTAAGTGACGACGGTTTATCACTTGAATGTCTTAGCTAAGAATGTACGATCAACTTTTAGATTGTTAATGAGTGAGCGAGACTACGACAGACATGAGGATCAATTATATGTTATCTCCTTAGACCATTAATATTTGTGCATTCCTTAGACAGGTACGGTTTAATTTTTTCCCGCACTACGGTACGAGCTCACAGATTAAAAAGTAGTCAAAAACACATCATGGAGTGAATAACTACCTCCACCGGTCTTCTACTTTGATTAAATAATACAAATATGTACATTTATTCATTTTAAATGTTCAGGAAAAGACAAACAGTACTTCAGACGTTTTTCAGCGAAGGAAAAGTCTATCTCATCATTTAGTAAGGGTAGAAAAGTTGGAGATCCGTAACCAAGAATTACTGTTGATGAGGTTTTTTCCAAGTGTTCCAATTGCTTTCTAACGTACTTAACGAGTGTTTCTATTTCCTGGAAAGTAGCCGTGGATGAAGAGATCCATATATTATTCCATAGTGCTGCAGCCAAGTGTGAGTCTGAAGAGGATAGTATTGCTTCATCATATGCGAACATGCTTCCAAAATATTGTGTCCGAAAGACTTTAATCTGCTTGGTTCTTCCAGTCAAGATATTAAACGCATACAACCTCTTTCCCACATCTGCCCAAAGTGCCTAAAAAATAGTTAAAGATAATGTCGACACTACTTTATCCATCCCCTTTTTCATCAAATAGCCTTCATTTCCTTCCTGACGTAGACGAACATAACACATCCACAAGTGTAATACAGTTAAGGAGAACCATGTCTGGAATGTGTCTGGAAGCTTTAGGTGTTGCACAAAGTCTTCAAACACAGGATATTCAGCGCAGATTACAAACATATTTTCGCTGGCCATGCGAAGGGTTGTTGAAGGATATCGAAGACTATTACCAAACCCGAAGAGATATTTGGTTTTTTCCAAGGTCGTTGGTTGTATAAAGTTTGGCTTGTACTGAGACAAATATCGAGTTGGAGCATAACTAGCATTTCGCCAAAACTTAAGAACACCTAGCTTCTGCAAATTCATGCGTCAGTAGAGATTGTAATATTTCGGTGGTCAGAAACCTGATTCAGTATCTAATGTCTTGTTCTCGATGTTAGTGTAGCTGTCTTGAGATTGTTTAAGAATCCCACTGAGAAAACTTAGTGCATTGGCGAAATCACGTATCACTGATAAGACCTAATCAAGAATTCGAAGTAGTGAATTTCCTCCTTTAACTGCAATCAGTTTTCCTGCATAAAATGGAAAATAAGCACATACATATTAGGTTTAACGCATATAGATATATTACATATGATATAAACTGAAAGGAAATCTTCATTGTACATTCTTAAATATAAATGGCCCTGGGCTATCTAAATAACTCAAAGGGAAGCGGTGTGAATCTTGATAAATCTACTTGTATATATTAATTGTGCGAAAGGAGCGCCCAAGAAGTAGAGTGCATCAGTTTTCACATCTGTAGACTGTACATTCCTGAAGATTTCCTTTTTGCCCACGTTTATATTCATTTGAAGTAAGTTGACTTAAGACCTTGCACCGAAGTGGATTACTTCGGCTCTTTATACTTTTCCACAGCTCAAAACATCATGAGAAGCACAATGGTGTCAAAATGGAGTTATAGGGTGAGTATTCAGAAGAAAATAAATAAAAATCAGTAAACTGCTATAAACTTGGATTATGATAAAGCGTGAATACATTTGTCCTGTCCCATCAAACAATCAGTTATAAATTTTCAATATATGGAGCATGCCAAAAACTCTAACTACACGGCTTAGACCGACAGCCTGCTTCTATGGGTTATTGCTATATCTTGCATTTTGTCACTCTCAGCTATCCTTCAGCCTAACCGTATCATATTTAGGCTGACAACGTATTTGGGAGAAACATGATAGACTGGCACGAGTAACACGCTTTAGGCACCTAATCATCTTATTGTTCAGCAATCGACACCAACATAGCTTCATGTGATTCCAACACACGCGAATAATACCATGTGTATACTAAAACTCAAATGCGAATAACCTTATTTCTTTCGTCTTTTATTGACATCCCTGCAAAGACCAGATTGTTGCTCTGCGTGCTTGTACTTTGACTGGTAGCCAAATATCTTTTCGGCGGTATCATTCCCAGGCTGTACAATCGCATACATATGGTAAATTATCCTAGCATCAAAAGGAATATTTCCAAAGATGTATCATTAGAATTGTAGATTTTAGGTTAAAAAACGTAGTGTAGAAAGCGTTAATCGGGTAGAAACTAAAATAAAATTAAATGTGTAAGTTGAACGACGTAAAATAATTAACAGGATTGAGTGGAATTTAACCAAAATTTGGACGAGATTCTAGTTAACAGTGGTAATAAAGGAATGGGATTTATTAGGGAGTGGGGGAGGAGATAATGCAATTAAGGAACAGACAAAAATCGCGTATTCGGTCTTAAGATAGATCAGTTTCATTGTAGATTTAATGACTGAACAAAACTTTTTTGTAGGAAGAGTTCAGGATTTAACATGTCATTGCTTCTGCAGTTTGATCCTTACTTTTTTAGCGAGATTCTCATGTATTAAAGTTATCTACAGAATACATGAGAATCTCACTGTTTATCTGTTCCTTAATTGTATTATTTCCTCCCCCACTCCCTAATAAATCCCATTCCTTTATTACCACTGTTAACTAGAATCTCGTCCAAATTTTGGTTAAATTCCACTCAATCCTGTTAATTGTTTTACGTCGTTCAACTTACACATTTAATTTTATTTTAGTTTCTACCCGATTAACGCTTTCTACACTACGTTTTTTAACCTAAAATCTACAATTCTAATGATACATCTTTGGAAATATTCCTTTTGATGCTAGGATAATTTACCATATGTATGCGATTGTACAGCTTGGGAATGATATTGCCAAAAGTGCAACTCTTCGCTGAACGCCTTTTCTTTTATGTGACCCAATGAGTTTTTCAAATAGTCAAATATCTCTATTATGGATAAAATTTATTTTGATAAAGTCACACAGTATTATATAATAATATTTATTGGTAACGTTTAGAGCATAATTTATTGCTCATAAGCACATCAAAGTACTCACACAACCTTCTTGCCTCCTATTGAGACAGACAATCCACAAGAGACGATGTGACAATGGAGCAAACTATATGTGCATGTACATAGCTGACGAATTTTTTTCTGAAACGGTAAGAAACTTAACTGGCCACATGATTTTGTGCAAGGGAACGGTCTCGTATTCTACATAATGAAAATCTACTAGCCTAACTTGCGGTAAGGTGTTTAAGGTATTAAATGTTATAAGGCGGTTGAGCATCCCAGGTAGAGTAACAGAAGTAATAGGAAAAGCCTCCCCAATGACTCACAATGTCACACAGATCGATTAACGTCATGACTGGTAAGTGTATGCGAAACTAAAATTTAACATTTACAAGCAATTATGAGCTGCTCTTCTCCTAACAGGATAAACATGGCAACAGTAAAGAAAAGACACCAAAATCAAATGACCTTGAATCAACCAATATGACGGCTAGGCATTACACAAGAATGGTGTTCATTATCTTCGTTGCAAGTTTCATTCAGAGTTTTTAATACCAATAATACAACAACCAGTCCTCCTAGGCACTACCTTTCATACACGAGTGGAAGGGGTATTCGCAACTATCATCATTAGACTATTTCTGAATGAGTAGATCCTACAAATGAACTCACACAAATTCTACTGAAAGATTTTTGCTGCATGTAAAAAAGTATAAAATAGTAAATGGCTCCCGATATGATATGATATGACATACAATCACTTAGCCACTCACTCTTTCAACCTTGAATCTCGAAGATGCCGGTAACTTATCCAATATCCAATATTCGTTTGGAGAGCGGAAAGTTGCACTATAGGCACTGAAAAGGAGTGGACACATCAATGGACAATGGAACTCTTAGTCAATAAATTAGTGAAACCACGTTGACGACACCATATTCATGGAAAAAGTCATTAATAAAATGCCATGATATTTAATTGGAAGTCTAGGTCTCCTAAAAATAGAGAAAGATTAGGTTTAGGTCGTAGATAGATTAGAATTAAGTTTGGGTTACAGATTTATTATGGTTAGGTCAGGTCAAGATTAGGGTGAACGTAAGGAGACCAAATTTACCTTCGAATCCTACCGCTTGTTAACATTTCGAAAGCTTATCTTACCAGAAGTGTTAGACCTGACGCATGAAAGGCTATATAAATTATCCTAATGACCAAATCATGTGCTGGTAAAAATTTTAAATTCAGGCTTACTGCTATCACTTCTGAAATTATTAGAAAAACTGCTTTTATTCAACCTTGAACCTTCCTTGAAAAGTTGCAGTGACCCAAAAAAGTCTGCATATAGATATAGTAGATATGCTTTAAATGCTGCTGCTGTCCTGCATCATAATATTATTTCCAGCTTAGCAAAGGTAGCTAAATATGTTCGGTTCTTCGCTCAACCATTCTTCAGCTTTTGACTCCGCCCCTAGATGTCTTTTTATGTTAAGCTTTCCATTACACCAATTGAGTCCTGAACTGCTGAACTCTTATTTCCCAAACAGAAAGCAGTGTGCTTTGTATAAAGATAAATCTTTCTCTTCCTTACTTATTGAAACCGGTGTCACTAAGGGTGCTGATCTCTCCTCTTTTTCCTTTCTTTTTATTTGAATTGCCTTGTCTGGAAGAAATCAACTTCGTTAAATATGCTGGCGACCTTCCTATCTTGACGCTAATTACTTCCCTAGCCTAATGTACCAAACTGAATTGCTTTCTGCCCGACATTGGCCAATGGTCTAAGCTTAATAGCCTCATGTTAAACCTGTCCGAATGTCAGACAGTTAATTTCACCTTCAGGAATAAATGTGATATTAATGAACTCATTAGGACACACGATGTTTGTAGTTTAAAAAAACTCATACAAAAAATTAGTGAGACACAAAATACCTTAGTATAGTCCTACCTTCTGACCTTCCTTAGTCCTCATATATTCTGTCTTTTTCTGGGAAAGTGTTCTGTCTAACCTTCCACATTAAGCAGTAAAGGCAGTCTGGAATTACTCAACCCTTACTTTCACAATTCGTTAATTCTTGCATCTTACCTATTGTACTTTACTGCTCCCTCTTAGTCTTTCGTGGGCTACTCAAAAAGGACTATGTCATATTGTGCGGGGTGTTAACGGTTGCCAGTAGGGCGAGTAGCGTGCCATTTAGTCAGCTCACTACTACTGTAGTCGATAGACGTCTGAACTTATTTGAGCAACGGACTAAATTCACATTCTTAATCTCAACACCCTCTGTATTCACAACTCCCTCCGGCTTGCATTTCATCAGGTAGGACAAGAGGTAATTACAAAATATCAAATACTCGCACAACCAAGCATAAAAACTTAAGAATTCCCAATGCAGCCCACACTGTATGTGGTGAAGATGGTGTTAATCATCAAATTTACAACTTACCGTATGATCAGCAGAAAAGTAGCTCATTTATTGTCTCATATTTGTGGTTTTATGGTGGCGGTATGGTTATCATCTTGTAACTTTGTTTCATCAGTAATATAAAAAAATCCCCATTTAGACATTTGGAAAACAGAAAGACTGAGCGAAGAAATACTTACTTTTCAATTAGATCCTCATCTCTGGCTCTACTCTAATATACATAGCATTTTTATTACAATACACAACAGTTTATCAAACAAGTGGTATTGATTTTCTTCGTTAATTATCAACCCATTGACATTTTGACACTGTTTAATTATTGTTAAGAAACCTATCACCACTTGTTTGGTAAACTGTTGTGTATTGTAATAAAAATGCTATGTATATTAGAGTAGAGCCAGAGATGAGGATCTAATTGAAAAGTAAATATTTCTTCGCTCAATCTTTCTGTTTTCATCAGTAATAAACTTATTATTCTCATCAATTTAGATTTGCACATTTTACCCCTGCTGTTTCTGGTAATGCCAAAAGTAACTATTTTCAGTTTTGGTTAAGCGTAACCTGTAGTGTATTTCTTCTGTTGTTGTTCGGTGGGTTGTATGTGGTATTATATAAAATGCTGAAAATTCCACACTTTGTCGTAAGCACAGTTTTTGGAACAAGGCGAATCATTCTTATCATTTTTCCAAGGTCATCGGTGTTCGCGCCTCTTCAGTTGTAGAGTTTGAGTTTGTCCAGTAGACTTCTGCTTTGCTCCTACGGTAACTAGCTGCCATAACCTTAGTTGACTCTGAAAGGTGTGGTGAGTTAAACTGATTTGCAGCACGAGGTGTTTAGTGACTGTGCTGCCACTGATGTGAATACTTAATTCCTCTTCTTCTCATTGGTTTTCTGTCGTGGTAGAAAAAGAAAGTAGTGGTATAAGTGGTGGAGATTACATAGACCTAGAAAAGCAGAACGAACAAATAAAGAGATAGGCAATGAAATTTGATGGTAATAAAGCGAGAGAACAAATGGTCAGAGCAAACTGAACAGTAAGACAAGAAAGGGTGAGCAGTGATGAGGCGCAAGTTTAGACGATCCGCATTAGCTGATAAGAACGATCTACTTTATTTCAAAAACAGTACTTATAATACGGAATGGAATTCTCATAATTTGTCACAATATTGCATCTGATTTGATCAAAATACGAATAAAATTAACTACAGGAATTTGTCCACACTTACTGTATAAAGTCAAAAATATTCGAAGTACAAGATAAGAATAATGAGTATAATAATAACAGTGGATTCAGTTTGAAAATTTTAGAATACTACAGATTGCTGAATCTAATGTTCTCTTGACATAGCATGGTGAGGGGAGAGACAAAAAATAACAGTTATTGTGCAGCCTAAAGGATGTTTATACTTATGCAAAAATTAACAGAAAATTGAGATGATTACAAATACAAGAAGAACAATAACAATAAAGCCTGGTGGAATAAGGATGGAAAAATGTTTATTTACTGGTGGAAAGTAGGTTAGTTAGTTCGTGCCTGACACTATTTTCATCACATAAAATAAGTGCCAAATATGGCATAGTGGAATTTTTATACTTAGACGTACGTCCATAAAGTCTTTTGAAGTGGCTTCTTGTTTTATCTGAGGAGGCACAAGATGAAGTGGATGCTCACAGTTTGACAAAATCCCTTTAGCAAATTTGCTGCATGAAATCACATGCATATCAATGACGATTTCAACCATATGGCCCAGTGGGAAAGCATTCGCCCTACTGGGAGTCCTCAGAGTTAAGTATGACGTCTTTTTAAGCAGTCGTGGAAAGAAAAAGGGTGAACAATAAAGAAGAGTGCGTAAGATTCATGGGTCGACAAACTGTAAGTTATGCCTGAGTGCCTTAACTTCTTAATGTAAAAAGTTAGACAAAATATTCCTTTAGAAATCGTTAAGATATGGGAGGACAAGGATAGGCCGGAAGGAAGAATTAGTCCAAGTTACTTAACTCCAGACATGGTTTCTATACCATTATCATCAATTTTGCAACGGTCATAGGAACTGACAGCCTCGTTTGACTGTCTTACACATCGGAAACTAAAATTAACAGTCTAACAGTTGGAGGGATTTAGTTTCAGACCATTTGACCAAGACCATTTGCCGACTCCTGATAGAAAGATTCTCATCTTAGTACAATCTAGCTGGGAGTTGATAGACACTCAAAAATAGTTAGATCGTCTGCGTACTTAACAAAGCTCATTTCATCAGAGTGAGGCAAGTCGTGCAAGAAGAAAAAAAGAAAAGGAGAAAGAACATCGCCTTGAGGGACGCCGGCTTCAGTAGGCAATAAAGTGGATAACTTCCTCTGATATACGGTGTACTGCTTTCATCTCGAGAAACGAGAATGCAACCATTTGATAACCCAGTAACCAGTTTGAGTTTCAGCAAGCTTCTTTGACAAAATGTTCCTAGGTACTGAGTCGAAAGCAGGTGTGGGCGCAGAGAACAAATTAAGCCCCTTCGTCTAAACTGGAGACGATATAATGATGCAAGACTGTGTCTGCATCTAAAGTACTTCTACCTTGTTTAAAGGCAAATTATTTGGGATCGTTAAAGGCTTTAAGTGAAGGTTCGAGATTAATTAAGAGCAACTTTTCCGTGGT